TATTAGAAATTTGCTTGCTAAACTCAGTTGCAAAATTCCTGTGAAGTCACTTCCTGGAAACTGAAAATATTCCATTTATAGTAATGTACGAATTTATTTTAATATTGTTATTGGTAACAATAGTTGCATTAGAAGTACTACCGTGTTTCTCATATAATAAGGCCGGGTCTTATTTTTTTTTGAGCCCCGAAAAAATGGCTAGGCCGTCTTTTCAGGGGTGACTTAATTCCCTCCCCTTGCATCTTCGGGCGGGTGGGCAGTGATGGCTTGGATGTTGACCTCGGCGTTGGTGGGGCACTTCATATCGGGGTCAACGCAGGCAGCACCATATCTGGGTGTGCAACAAAAGTACTTCCTAATGGCAAGCCCCCCCCCACCATTCCCCCCCATTTTGCATGTTTTAATATAGGCCTTAATTTGGGGGGAGGGGCTTAATTTCATTTCATGCCTATAAAACATGCTGGGACTTCCTATTGGGGGAGGCTGTATTGTTGGAGAAAGAGAGTAATAGTATAGTTTTTGTTTTAATATTTAGACAAGAATGTGAAATTTATTTTTTATTTTTTTTTAGAAAAAGCGTTATTAATTTTACCTTTAAAAAAAACAGCACAACTGCAAATTATGTACAACAAAAAGACAAACAGGCCTTAGCATAGGCCAAGAGAGAGGAAGGCTTGAGAGAGGAAAGAGGGAAAAGTAAGGGAAGGGGAGGGAAGAGTAGGGAAAACAAAAAATAAAACCATATTTTTTGTGACTGTAAGATCCTTTCTTCTTCAAAAATATTGTTGGCGGTGCTTTTCTTTATCTCTGCTTCGGAAGCCCTCGGCCTTAATTTTCCTAGAGGTGATCTATCTTTGGTTTAGCCAATTATACCAAGGATTCCAATTGTTATAATAGGTTGAGGATTCTTTATTTTTTAAGGCTTGGGTTAGTTTGTCCATTTCAGCGCATTGTAAAATTTTCTGAATAACCATATGTTCAGTGGGGATAGAAGGTAGTTTCCAGCACTGGGCGAATGCCAGTCTGGCTGCAGTTAAGATATGAATTGTAATATACTTTGATTTTTCTTTATAAGCTGCTGATTTCGTGATCTTAATGTTCCTGTTCCAGATCCTTTCCCATTCTGCTAGGGTAATGCTCCGACCCACGTTTCTGCTCCATGCAATCATATTTCCTTTGACAATTTCTTGTTCTAGTTCTGTTTCTAATAAATGTTTGTAAAATTTAAATATATTTTTTTTACTCGGTCCTACTAGAATTTTGTCTAAAGTCTGTAATTTATTGTAGATTCCAAATTCCTTAATGTCTTGTTTGTATCTACTATGAATTTGAAGGTACACCCACTGATCAATTATAAATCCTCGCTCTTGTAATTCTTGTCGTGTTTTCAGTTTTCCTTGTGGGTCTAATAAATTTTCGTACTTGATCATTTTAGTTATATCCAAATTATTAGGGTGTACTATCGCTTCCATTGGAGATAGCCAAATCGGTATTTTTAGATAGAGTTTTTTACGTACTTTTTTCCAATTGGTTAATAATCCCTGATAAGATGCCTATGGAAATATGATTGCCTGGGTTTCCCAGTTTCCCACAGAAAGGCATGCCATCCTTTCTGCATATCGTGGCCTTCTAATATTAGTGTTCTTTGTTGGTTAGATTCACCCATTCCTTTATCCATAGTAGGGTGGCTGCTGTATGATATATTTCCCAGTTTGGCAGGGCTAACCCTCCTCTGCTTTTCGAATCTTGTAGGGCTTTTACGTTAATCCTAGCTTTTTTCCCCGCCAAATAAATTTCAGTGTTATCTTGTTTAATTCCATAAAAAAAATTTTTATTTAATTTGATTGGAATTGTCTGGAATAAATATAGAAATTTTGGCAGAATATTCATCTTAATCAGAGCAATTCTGCCCAATAAGGAAAGTTGTAATTTACGCCAGGAATCTAAATCTTTCTTGGATTGTTGGAGAAGTTTGTCATAGTTGTTTTCTTTTAATGATTTGCTTTGTGGAGTTAGCCAAATTCCTAAGTATTTAATTTTTTTTGTCACCTGTATTCCCATTGTTGTCTCTAGCTCTTTATTCTGGTCTCCTGTTAAATTTTTAGTCATTAATTTCATTTTTCCCCTGTTAATTTTAAATCCTGCGACTTCTTCAAATCGTTCTAGTTCTTCTAATAAGTTATGTCCCTTTTCTATGGGCTCCTCCAGAAAAAAAACCAAATCATCAGCGAAGGCTTGTACTTTATACTCTTCTGTTTTGATCCTCAGTCCTCTAATTCTCGAATTTTGCCTAATGTATGTCAAAAGAAATTCTAGGGCGAATATGAAACGCAGAGGGGAGAGAAGTCTTACCCCTTTTTCTATTTTTATCGGGCCAATTTGTTCCCCATTTATTAGAATATTTGCTGTTGGGTGTGGTAAATTGTAGTGACGACTTTTTCGAATCTGGTGCCGAGGTTCATATTATATATTTTTTGAATTAAGAAATGCCAATTTAAATTGTCGAATACTTTTTCAGCATCCAAAAACATAAATGTGAATTGTTTTTTCGGATGGGCTTCATAGAATTCTGAAATGTCTATCACTGTTCTTAAATTATTCTTAATTTGTCAAAATGGGAGAAATCCATTTTGATCTTCATGGATATGTGTGTTTAAAACCTGTTTTAATCTATTAGCTATTATAGAAGAGAATAGTTTGTAATCTGCATTCAGGAGCGAAATTGGTCTATAATTATTAATAAGTCTATGCTCTAGGTCCTCCTTCAGGATCAGCGAAATTAAGGCTCCCCTCCACGAGTCCGGCATCTTGGCTGCTAAGAGTACATCATTAAATACTTCCAGCATCAGTGGTCCAATTTGTTCTCTGATTGTTTTGTAAAGTTCTACAGGTATCCCATCCGGTCCTGGCGCTTTATTGTTACTTTGCTTCTCTATTGCTGACTTCAGTCGGACCATGTTATATTTTTGTTTAATAATTCTATCTCTTCCTCTCCAATTGCTTTATCATTCGCTTCCTCCAGGTATTTCGTTATTTTGTCCTCACAGACTTCTTCTTTTTTGTATAATTTCCCAAAGTATTTAAAAGTGATCTCTTTTTTCTTCTCTATCTCCTCTTGCAAATTGCCCCTCTCATCCATTAATTGGTATATCAATCTTTTTTCTTTCGTTTTCTTAAGTTTGTGGGCTAACCATCTCCCTGGCTTGTTTGCATGCTCAAAGTAGATTCGTTTAGTCATTTTCAGACTAATCTCCAATTTTTCTTGTTCCAGTAAATTTAGTTTGTGTTTAGTTGTTGTTAACTGGTTCTGTATTCTTTGGTTTTTGGGGTTCTTTTGTAGTTGGGTTTCTAAATCCTTAATTTCTTGTTGTAGGTTACTTTGTTGGGCATACTTTCTTTTATTTCTCATAGCATTGTAAGAGATTGTTATTCCTCTTATAAATGCCTTCAATGTGTCCCATATATTTTGTTTCGAAGTTAGTTCATTATTATTTTCCTTTAAGAAGTTCAGTTCTTCTTTCAGTTTGTTAGTATATTCTTCTTCTTTTATTAAATGAGTGTTTAAGAGTCCATCTTTTCTTTGGTTTTCTTCTACCTCTCCAGGTTATTTGAATTGGGTTGTGGTCAGCCAGTCATTTGGTAAGATTTCGCTATCTTTGATTTCATTAATTAATTCACCGTTTATCCAAGCCATATCTATTCTTGTCCAAATTTTGTGTGAGTTAGAATAATAAGTAAACTGTTCTTTTTGGGGGTTTAGTTTTCTCCAGATATCTACCAGATTCATTTCATTCATCATATCCTTACATGGCTTCGAAAATTCTCTTTTTCCTTTTTTGTTCTTACTCATGTTACTATGATCCTTCCGGTAGTCAGCAATAGAGTTAAAATCGCCAATCAGACAAATATTGCCTTTTTCGAAATCTATTATTTTTTGGTGGAGATGTTTGAAAAATTTACCTTGATCATCATTTGGGGCATAGATTACTACCAATAAAAATGTAATGCCATTAATCGAGATTTATACCACCGGAGTTCTTCCTTCCAGGGTCCGCCCAGATTAACTCTGCTTTTAAATCATCTCTCACATATATTGCAATACCTTTCTTTTTGTGTTTATCTGCTGGTGCTGTGAATAATTTTCCCAATTTCGGACAATCTAGGAATTTCTCCTCACTTTTCCTAATGTGTGTTTCTTGTATGCAAATTATGTCCACGTTTTGTTTAATTAGTTTGGTTAGAATCCTTTTCCTTTTAGCTCTTGAATTTAGGCCATTTATATTGATGGAAAGAATAGTATAGTATAGTAATAGTATAGTTTTTGTTCTAATATTTAGACAAGAATGTGAAATTTAAAAACACAGAGGAATGGACTAAATATTCTTCTGTAATCTGATACTCTTAATACAAAGGTGTCAAGCTGACGACATGCAAGCCGCATGCATCACGCACAGGCCACGCCTACCCCAGCTCCGCAAAGGGAAAAACATTAGAATACGTCATGTGACAGCAACATGACACGGCGAGTTTGACACCTGTGCTCTAATATAAATGTTGGATTAGAAATGTCATGATCCCCCACCAGTTTATGGAAATATGCAGTATATGAGGTAATAATATAACTATTGTAGTAATATAATTATCTGAAGTTCACTGTCAAATTCAGCAGACCTGGGTTGTTATTACTGTGACGCTTTTTAGTAGTGTTGGTGATTTTTAATTATCTCTTGGAAATAAGCCTTTCAGAATCTGGTTTATATAGAGTTTTTACAAGATTTTCAGTTTTCTCTAAAGGTTCAAGAATATTTTACAATTATTTCTAGCTGTTATTTTTAATACATTGAATGTTGGCAGTTACTTTTCATTAGAATAAATAGGATTCATTTTATTAAAATAAAATTTAATAAAATATATACGAAAATTATTATCTGAGTATAGTACCACATAAAAATATGCTTATTATTTTGCTTAATTCAAAAATACATATTTATTCTTTTTAGTGGACCAACTACATCCATGGGTGGCAGGACCGCTGGGTGGTATTGAAACACAACACTCTAAGTTACTACAAATCTGAAGATGAAACGGAATATGGCTGCAGAGGCTCAATCTGTCTGAGTAAAGCTGTTATCACAGTAAGTGTTTTCTTAAAGCATGATTAGCCTTCCTCACTGATATATTTAATGTACTTCTCAATAATGGTTGAAACAAAACCAATTAGTTTAATCTCACATTGGACAAAGTGGTAATTTTTAAACTGATCATAGAAAATATTTCATGTAAATCAAGTTTCTGAAATAATTATACATGTGGAAAAAAGATGCTTATAGATGTATTTTACAATTTAAAGAAACAACTTGTCTCTTTTAAATATAAAATTAAAGGAAGAAATGAGCTAAAATTGTAAATGCAACCATTAAGAAAATAAGGCATTTAAACTTGTATTAAATAGAGCTAATTTTTGTTTTAAATCTTCAGTATGTTTTAAAAGACATTTGATAAAGATATCTGAAGCCTGATTAACATTTTGGCAACAGAAGCATAAGAGTTATTGAAGTATTGGTGGTGCTATTTGGTTGTGCTAATGTATCAGGAAGTATTTATTTGTTAATGGTCAGATGATTACTTCACATGCTACTGCTGGCTTGCCTTGGGAACAGCAATAATAACATAAAAGCTGTTTTTGTTATGTCATTATGATTGTCTCTTTGATCTGCTAACTGACCAACTTGAAAATAAAGATGCAGTATCAACTCTATTATCGGCAGGAAAAAGATAGGGCAATAACTGCAATGCACAGATATTGTACACTTCCTTTATGATTTCAATGGAATTAGAATAAGATGATAACATTCCTACTCCTCAAGGTTTTACAGTTATAACCATGTGCATTATATATTAAGGCAGCACCCCCTCCCCCAACCCCACCCCAAAGATTTTGGGCACCAGGGACCAGTTTCATGGAAAGTTATTTTTCTGTGGCCTGGGGGTGGGGATGGTGATTTTGCATGCTTGTAATCTTATTTTTCTGTGTAAATTGTTATTTAATAATTGTTTTAATTGTTTATTATCTGTTACCTAAAGTCATGTAAGTCAGCTGGATAAATTTAATAAAATAAAATAAATAAAACTTAGGCAGATTCATTTGTATGTACTCAAGTTTTTGGAAGAAAATATACCACATTGGTATTTTATGAATTTGAAATTAGCATAATTTATTGCCATTGTTTCTATTCCATGGGTAAATTGCTAGTTTCATCAGACATAGAGGCATATAAGCAGGGTATGATAAGTAGGAGCTATGGTGGCGCAGTAGTTAGAATGCAGTATTACAGGCTAACATTTCCCACAGCCAAATGCTAACATTTGTAATCCGCTCAGACAGGGCTGTAAAGCAGGGGTCGCCAACCTTTTGGACCTCAGGGACGACCAAACTCCTAATTTGAAATCCTGGGCACTACTAATATGCATTTTGACTGACTGTGGCTTGCTGACGTTGGTGGGAGAGAGAGAGAGAGAGATCTGATCTAACCTCTCTATCTCCCTCCCTCCCTCCCTCTCTCTCTCTCTCTCACACACACACACACAAACACACAGAGGCAAGGGTGGGGTTCAAATTTCTTAACCAGTTCTGTGGGTGTGGCCTAATTTGTGGGTGTGGCTTTATGGTCATGTAACTGGCTTGTATGTAAATATTATAAATATTTATGTAAATATTGATTTTTTTAATAAAAAGATCAACTTTTACCCAATATCAGGCAAAGCAGGCAGGCAAATTGAGTTGCTCACAGAATCACAGATTCACTCAGAGATCTATCTTTCTGCCATCGGCTACCTGAGTCTGTCCCATAAAATTTGCTTGCAAGCAAACTCACAAAATTAACTCACTACTCACCTTGTATGTAAATATTGATTTTTTTTAATAAAAAGATCAACTTTTACCCAATATCAGGCAAAGCAGGCAGGCAAATTGAGTTGCTCAAGACTCACTCAAAGATCTATCTTTCTACCATCGGCTACCTGAGTCTGTCACATAAAATTTGCTTGCAAGCAAACTCACAAAATTAACTCATTACACACCTTGTATGTAAATATTGATTGTTTTATATAAAAAAAGAACAACTTTTACCCAAAATCAGGCAAAGCAGGCAGGCAGACTGAGTCGCTCATAGAATCACAGATTCATTCAGAGATCTATCTTTCTACCATCAGCTACCTGAGTCTGCACTGAATAATAGAAGCTTCAGTCCTAAGGAAGATTCAGCTCTGCTTAAAAGCAGAGCTGAAGATCTAAAGATTAGCTAGAAAACAGGAAATCCAATGGTTTCCTGCTTTCTAGCTAATCTAAATCTCCCAGCACATCAGGACAGCTGATGGTTGGGGTGGGGGAGGAAAAATAGCAACTTAGTAGGCAAGTTTGCCAGGTAAGGACTAAGTGGGTGGGGAGCGTTCCCGCGGGCAATGTGGTCGGCGCAGCCTTGTGTCCCTGCGCAGCCTGCATTAATTGCTTTGGGGAGGTGTTCTGGGGGTGACATTTCTATGCAGACCACCAAAAAATTTTCACGGGCCACCAGTCGGCCATGGCCCATCGGTTGGAGACCACTACTGTAAAGCACTATGGAGTGGTATAAGTCTAAGTGCTATTGCTATGATAGTCTGCTGTAAGTTTATACATTGCTTTACAAATTTCAAATGTTTCTCTGTTCTTTGCATTCAAATTGAAGATTATCCACTGAATGAGAATTTTGGTGTTAGAAGTTATTGATTCTAATTTGAGCCACATAATTTTTAATACATTTTTTATAATTCTTTTATTGACTAGTAAGTATTTGTCAATTCTTATTATACTTATATGTTTAATTTTTAAAAGTTAACGGTATTTAAAGGCAGAAATGAAACCATCAGGAGCTATTGTTGGCACAGTGGTTAAAATGCAGTACTGCAGGCTACTTCTGCTGCCTGCTGGCTGCCTCTAATTTGGCAGTTCAAATCTCAACAGGCTCAAGGTTGACTCCGCCTTCCATCCTTCCAAAGTCAATAAAATGAGGACCCAGATTGTTGGGGGCAATAGGCTGACTCTGTAAACCACTTAGAACACCGTGAAGCAGTGTATAAGTCTAAGTGTTATTGCTATTGGTCTTGAACAAATAAATATACACTGTGTTTATTAGTTTTAAATAGATCTATGACCTGATTAAGATTTTAATTGAGCAATGAGTTTTACATTTGCATATATTTACATGCAAATAAATCAGCACTGCATGCACTTATCTCACCAGGCATCATGCCAATTATGCTATTTTGTTTTAAGGTTTTTTTAATGTCATTTATCTATATAGTACCAGTCCAAAACATGGTTCTGTATTGAAATGAAGGAGTACTCTCCAAATTTTATGGAAAACTGTTAGGGGCATATTTCCCCAAGATACCATGCCGAGCAACAGGTGGATTTGTTTCGCCTATTAAAAAACAGCTTATTTTGCTGCCCGATAGCAATAGCACTTAGGCTTATGTATCCCTTTACAGCCCTCTCTAAGCAGTTTACAGAGTCAGTATATTGCCCCCAACAATCTGGGTCCTCATTTTACCCACCTTCTGAGTCAACATTGAGTCTGGTGAGATTTGAACTTCCAAATTTCAGGTAGCCAGCAGGCAGCAGAAGTAGCCACTTTAACCACTGCCCCACTGTGGCTCTTTGGCAAGCTCTTTGGCCTATAGATCTGAATGGGAGCTGCTCTAGGAACAACCCTCAGATGACTGTGGACCCTCCTGAAAAGAGGAATTTTACGGATTGTAATTCCCAATAGGGATGGTCAGAGACTTGTGTCTCTGTCTTTCGTCTCAGCTGTTTTATTTTTTTAAAGTACGCTTGGATTTTAGCTACACTGTTTGAATTTACTTTTTTTTAATCTTGATTTTTCTCTTAAAATTGTCTGGTTGAAAGTTAATTTACTTTAACCCCTTGCTGGATTTTAATGCGAATTCTTTAATGTTTTTTCACTGTTTCACTCAGCTATTCTGAATTACTTCCGCTTTTTCCGTATGGAGGTCAACAGAGATTTCCTGGTAATGGAAGTAACCTGTTTGCATTTTCATTTGCATTGGATTTTCATACAGGGATTTCACATTTTCTTAACTTTTAAAAAACTCTGGTCTTAATTTTTCATGTTCCATGGAAATTCTTTCTATCCTTTAATCATGATAAATATCATCTCAATACTCTCTATGACTACTTTGTCACAAGGAACTATTTATGTGTTATGAATGCCCAGTTACAGGGCTATATTGAAATGTACCAAGTTATAGATAAAGCCCTCTGGGCAGACTTTGAAAAGAAAGAATGCTTTTTAACTTACAAGTTCAAATTGAAAACTTTGGTAAAAAGTTAGATGAAATAACAAGGATTTTAAATCAACTTAAAGAAGATGTTCAGACGCAAGCAAATATTGCCAAACCAAACTCAGCACTAGATGGATTGAAATCTAAATTGCTGTTTAAAGGAGAAGGATCGTGTTATGGAAACTTCAGGTTCATTGAAGAAGGTTGAAGGGGATACAGATTCTACAGATTTGGATTTAATAGTATCAATTAGTGATGAACTTGATTTTCTTAAGAAGATTGATGGTGATTGGGGAATGGACTTAAACTGTATCTGGAAAACAATCTGGGCTGGATTTTTTTGGGGAAATGGATCAACAAGAAAGGTGTATGATTTGGGGAATAAGACACAATTGTTGGGAAAGTTTTCAATCAAAATCTTAAGCAGAAATTTTATTATTAAGAATCAAATGGGGTTATTTGATCCAAGACAGATGATACATAATGATTGTGATGATTTATGCCAGATAAGAAACCATTGTAGGCATAATACATTGTTAATAGAGAACTTTGCTTTTTGTTTCACCCATTAACTACTTTGCCTTTATATATAGTAGCAATAGCGCTTAAACATATACCGCTTTACAGCCCTCTCTAAGAAGTTTTACAGAGCAGCATATTGCCCCCAACAATTTGGGTCTTCATTTTACCCGCTTCCAAAGGATGGCAGGCTGAGTCAACCTTGAGCCTGGTGAGATTTGAACTGCCGAATTGCAGATAACCAGCAATCAGCAGAAGTAGCCTGCAATACTGCACT